GCCAGTGCTGAGACTTCCTTCCTTCCTTCCTTCCTTCCTTCCTTCCTTCCTTCCTTGTAAACAGCCCCCAGCTTGTCTGAAAGCCCTGTTCTACATGCAGCCTGTACAACCTCCTAATGATATTTTGAGACATGGATAGTGTTCAATTCCCGTGAAAAGAGCAAAATGTTAGCAATTTTCTCTCTGTCTTACAATGACCGGTTACTGCACTGGGTCAGATCTGTCGGCGATCGTGCTTAACAACGACTGGCGAAGATGCTTTTTGACATCTGCAGGAAGGGTGGCCTGTGTCACAGCACTTGATTCCGGCAAATACGGCAATGCATCACTGATCCCTTTAATAAAGCCTCCAGCCGTTTGCTGTCAGTCTGTCTCTGTCTTGGCAGGCTTAAAAGCAAGCTGGGGGAAAGGGGGGCAATTTCCCAAAGTATGTCTTTTTAAATAATGTCCTGCATCCAATCCCTTTCCTTCTGTCTGTCTGTCCCTTTTTAAAAAACAAGGCCATTTGCTTACACCGTAGCTGAGTTAACACATAATTAAAAGAATGCCCAGGGAAAAAATCAATGGGCTAATGAAACCCATCTGGCTGTTAGCCTTTTTGATTTATCTTGCTCCCAGCTGCTCAACCAGGTGATGAGAATTTCCTAGCATGATGGATGGCAAAGAGTTTTGGCTAGAGGGAGTGCCTGCAGGCTGCAAGCACTCCTGAATGAGGTAGAGCTGTGCAATCAGATCCCTGCTGGGGGTAAAAATCAGGCCAATGTTGCAGTCAGTAAGACCACAGCAGAAGTGGGACTGATTTTTTAAACAATGTAGTGGAAAGGACCTTCCATTTGTACTCGGTTTTCCCTCCAACAGGCTCAAGACATTAGAGTTCCCTAAATCCTGTGATTTATTAGGGTTGGAAAAAGGGAGAAGACTAATGTCATCTAACAAGTTCAGTGGTTGAGTGCAGATCTGGACCTGAAATTCAGTTTTATTCAAATGCTCTAGCCAAAAAAAAACAGAGGCAGTTTGCTCCTCTCCAAATTTCTGGTCTCCCGTCCCTCTCGTCTTCAACCAACATGAGCAATGGGAGTTGTACAAACATATGAAAGATACTGGTTTATTTATCCCTGCTCACGCGAATGCTCATCTCTGACTCCTGAGCAGTTATCTATGACCCACCTAAATTCTAAAGGCTCTCAAACCTGACAGCCACCACGCTTTAGACACTCAAGCAAGGAGAAATCTAAGTTTACCTGCAATAAACCTTTAAGACAACTGAATTTACAGCCAATTAGATTTAAAAAATGGCCTTCAGATTAACCAGGTGTGACTTCAATTGCTTATTATAAATCTAAGCTCTGTTTGAATCCCTCTTCTAATTTATATATTATCTTTAACTGTCGTATTAATTTTCGAAGGATAAAGCTTTGGCTGCGCTTTTGCTGTTCATGCATTTTGTCGTTCTGAACAGCCTGGCACTTTCTGTATTGCAGATGAAGGAATTTTCTTCACCCCCCCCCCATTTTTTTTTTCCTGGTAAATCAGTTTGTTACCTTGAGTAGTGCCACGTTTGAAAATAATGGTATGTTGTTGGATGAAACTTTTAAAGCCAGCAGTTCCCAACCAAATAAGAAACGGGAAATAATAACGCTATGTAAAAAATAATCTCTTGCATTTTTTGATAATCAGTTCTCATTCTGATGAAAGAGGACTGGCTACTGAAATGTCTCTCAAAGGAGAAGAAAAGTCTCAGGGTGGATTCTGAGGGCTTTGTACCTATTCTGTCTCAGGCCAAGGAATGAATTTGACTTGAGTTATACCATTATTTCTCCATCGGGGTGCAACCTCCCTGGTTTCCCTCAACTTCCAAAGTATAAGATCTAATTCCACAGATGCTTTTCCAACTGGAAAGTGTAGGCACCCAGAGAAGCTGCTGAGTGACGGGCAGGGATGTCATGAAAACACCAGCAAGAGCACCTCCTTCCACCTCCGTGTCCCCTCAAAAACCCCACTAAGAGAAATTCAGATGAAACTCCTAAGTGCCCGTAGAATAAGGGAGAAAGTCTTATTTTGGCAAGGAAAAAGAAAACTTTTGAAAAAGGGCATGGCTGATTTCAGTGCAGCATTAGAAACTGAGACATTACAGGACTTCTGCCAACAGCTCCAGAAGACTCCTTTCCATATCCACCAGAAATGCCCAGGGGTTGCAAACAAGGCAGGGTTTTTTGAGATTCATGCTTCCTGAATGCTGGCTGCAAAAATCATTGGAGCTGTGAGTGTTGTTGCTTTTTAATTAAATGGCTTCTTTTCTCATGGTTACCCTCACCCTCTCACTTTCTTTTTTACACCCCCAGGCACTCAAGGGCTCCAAAAAGCTGAACCTGGCTGTCCATTCAGCGGGTCGTATCCCTGGCGGCTACAGAACCAACCACATCTATACCTGGGTAGATCCCCAAGGCCGGAGCGTCTCTCCCCCAGTCGGTCTCGTTCAGCATCAGAGCAGCTCTTTGTGCAAGGGGAGTGAAAAGAGAAGCCACCTTCAACTTCTGCAGGAAGGGGATGAGAAAAAGGTGAGTCCCGGAAGCATTATTTACTCATTGCAATTCCTGTATTTAGCATACTGATGATTCGGGATGTGTGGATCAATCAAAAACCGACTCATCCTGGCAAGCTCATTCAGAAAATCGATTTGTTTGAGACCTCTGGATCAATCTGGAAAATAGACTCATTTGTCTGTGCACAAGAGGCTGTTGAACCCTCAGATTTGGGGGGAGGGGTTGGAGTCTTCCCAAACTGATGCAGAGGTATCCAGTTGTATTAGGCACTTGAAATTGATTTGGATCAGAAACTGAATGTTCCAATTTTCCAAAGGAAATGTTTGCTCAGTAGATCAGGCCCCTTTAGGTCTGGGGCACCTTCTTATTCTGCCTATGTGTTTGGGCTATCAAATGAGACCCTAACGCAGTAGGATGTTCATTGATGTGGATTTGGTTGGAGCGCAAGACCCTACAACTCCAAGCAGACTGGCCAACAGTGAGAAAGGGAGAAAGCTATAATTCAACAACCTCAGGAAAGCTGGAGACCCCATCCCTGTTTGGGGAGGCTCAGGAAGAGCTAGGAAGTTAGTTGGGTTATGTTCCTTTAGATCCCGCCTTATCCTGCTGGCCTTCTAAATGGAAGCAAAATAGCCTTGAACCCAGAACTGCTTTTTGAGATAATGAGCTGTTTCCCTTCAATTTTGGAGAGGGAAAGAGGGTCAGTTTTCATACCCCAGCTATAATTTAAGCGGCAGGAAGCTTTGCATCCTCTGTCCATCCTGTGTTTCTCTAGCTGTGAAAAAAGAAATTATGGTCCCAGCATGAAAACGCTTGTACAGAAATAGCCTGTCTTACCTTACCCCGAGGGCAGGGGTGACATCTTTGACCAATTGCATCTAGCTGGTGTTGGGGAGCGTTTCCCCCCCCCCTCTCTTTCTCTATCTTTCTGGAAGGGTGCAAGGACAGAATCTTTATTGGTTCATTTTAAGAGCCTTTGCGTTTTTGGATAGATGCCTGACCGAGACCTCAATTGCACCTGAGCCGGTTGCTCGTCAGTGACGTCAAAGGTCCTTTCTATCCTTTATCTTTAGCTTAAAATGCAAAAAACATCCCAGTGACAGCTCTCATTCCCAGAATTAGAAACGGACATTGCAATCTTCTGGGTTAAAAATGTGAGGTTTATTCTTAGCCAGGAAAATTACGAACCTTTTTTTTTCCTTTCTAGAAACAAGTCTCTCTCTCTCTCTCTCTCTCTTCCCCTTCAATCTCTAGAAAAATAACTTTGCAGATGTTTCTCTAAGTATTTGCCATGATTCTTCACTTCTACCACCACAGCTAGCTGCCATAAAAGGCCAAGGGAGCATGGAAATATTTGGGCCAAAAATCACATGTCCAAGTCAAATCTTTATTTCAACCACAGACCAGCATAAGATAACATCAGTCGAAGGTTGCCTGTAGATCTTGAGGGATGTGCTGGGGAACCCATGGAGATAGACAAATGGGGAATTGGAGGTAGCCCAGCAGAAAGTGGCTACCCTGTCCAGAATAAAACCCACAGTTTTCTTAACCTTCTGTTCATTTTTTAACATTGTTAACATTTAACTGCAGTGTGAATGATCAGCCTTAAAATGTCTACTGAAGCTAAAATTCTTCAAGCACATTTATCAATTGGTGATAGAAAGCAATGAAAAAAAAAAGGGGGGGGGGTTAAACCCAGGAATGGTGATGTTATAAATAGACAAGAAGTCCTGAAGATGTGCAACCACCCGGGTCAAGATCTGGCTCTCATAACTTAGTAACTATGCATAGGTGTGTAGAAACAAATCTGAACGCTGAGCCAGGGATCTCTCTAAAGAGAGGTCAAGGCAAACATGTGAATGGAGGGACGAACCACCGTTGATTACAGCTGTGTGAAAATTCAGTTTGAAACAGGTGCCTTTGAATCAACTCAATCATTCAGTTCATATTACCGGTCCTCAGATCACAAAGGAGAGAGATGTAACATCACCAGGGAAGGACACAGAAAACCAGCTCCATTTGCAAGCATAAAATAAAGGCCATTTGCATAATTATGCAAAACTAAATGCATACATTCCATCCGCATTCAAAGCAGGGGGGAAAAGCCTATTAGAAATGGGGAAAGTTGCCTTTTTTCCCCCTTCATTGCTGAGACTCAGCAAGCATTTAACAGCAAGAAAGCTTGTGTTCGTTGAGTTCCACACCAAAGATTGTGCTGTGTGTGTGTGTCTATGTGTGCGCATGTGAGAGGGAAAGAGTGATTTGAAAGCACCAGCAGGAGCATGACTCAGCAAGAGAATTGGAGCATGTTTGCAAATAAATAAATGACAGGAATTGACGCCACTTTTCCCATTGTCCTTTCAGGGGAGGGAGAGAGCACCCCACTGATCACTTTCCCCACAATTATTGTCTCCTTTTATTCCTGCTTTCTCTCCCTCCTTCTCTTCTGATCTTTATGCAAAGCCTAAAATTATTACTGGCTTCTGATTTTGGTTGCTACCCGTCCTTCTGCTTCAGTCTCTAAACTTAGCATTAAGCAGTTCCGACTTTTCCTTCAGCACGGGACTCCTGTGCAAATACGTCCCCATGCCCTGCAAAAGGGTTTGGACAACAGCTGTCAGATCCATGAAATCTTCTCTGTCCCCGTCTTTCCCTTTCTTCTTCCTTTAATCAACATGCAGCAACCTGGAATGAACAGGGGACCTTCAGATGCATTTTCAAAGAGGAGAGAGAGAATTGTGAAGGTGGAAGGGAGCAGAAGAATCACTTGATTCAACCCTGAAGGGAAACCAGTCAAACCATCTACGAGAGAGGGCTTTCTGGTCTCTTCCTTCAAAACCTCCAGAGGCGAAGAACCCACGCTTCTGTAGGTTGACTATCTGAGCCCTGTGCAGATCTGACTGTCAGGAAGTTTTCCTTCTATATCAATGAAATCTAACCAGCTGCCCCTGTTACTTCTGGTCCTACCGTACTTTCTCTGGCCACAGAAAAGAATTCCTGTCCATCTTCCCTATGCATAGGGACATGGCTACCATGTCTTCTTAGATGTGGCAGTTGCTCTCCATTCTGTAAGCATCTTTGAAAAAATTAGTTTTTTTGGGGGGGGTTGGCATTCTGTCACTTGGAGGAGAGACTGCATTGTTTGCATCATAGAGGGATCATGTGGGCTCTTTTTAGTGCTCACCCTCAGCTTTGAGATTCTCAAAGCATTGGTTGGCTACTCCGGCAGAAGAATGCTGCATTCCAACTCTTCTGGTATCATCCAGCAGGAGATCATGTTCTTTTTTCAGTGCACGGCAGCGCCTGACCAGCCTGAGTTGACTGCGAGAAAAAGCTAAGCAGGTTGATGTGTGCCTGGTTCACACTAAAATGAGAGACCACTAGGAAAAGGCAGGACTCTAGATTTTATTGAAAAATTAAAAACAAAACTCTCGGAAGATGGTGGCAAACCCCTTCTCCTCTGGCACCATAAAAACAACACAGACATGTCCAAGACATCATTGTGAGTCAAGCTGGACAGTATAGTTTTCCATTTTTTTAAATTAAAATCAGGTTCTTTGAAAGTCAATGTTTATTTTTTTAAAAAAGTAAAGGGACATGTTTTGTAAGAGTATGTTTCTCATGCTCTTGTAGACCTGCCAGTGAGAGGGCATGAAAGTAGTTATATCTAAAGAAAATCTCCTTGTCCTGATGTCCAGGCATCTGAGAAAGGAAACAACGAAGCGTGCATAAGCTGTGTGTTTTGCCACAAATGGTGAATCTAGTGTAAATTTCCCAATATGCTGAATATGTGCGTACCCAGAGGAGTGAATATCTCTGCGCTCAGCGTTGATTGCCTCGGCTGAACAGTTGAAGGTCAGAGTAACTGGTAACCTCCAATTATTCTGTCTTTCCTAAGCCAGGATCTACTGTCTATTTTCTCAGGTTCACTTCATCAGGAGTGCTAAATTGTTCAAGGCGAGTGTTAATAGAAGCACTAGCTGTGCCAGAAGGGCACATCAGCCCACAAGCTGGACAGAAGCAAGATGTCTTTGGAATCTGTCCATCTGGGCCAGTTCCCAACCCTGTTTCTTACGTGTGTTGTATCTGGCAGGCCATTGCTACATATTTTATTGATGAGGGAGACCAGAGTGAGCCTTTGAAGCTGGCCCTTGGAATCATGTGATCTTATCCAGCCAATCCCTTTTACTGCTGCTGTCTTTAAAGTCCCACTTCAGCTGCACTGCTTCGGTGGGATGTGGCATGATGGGCAAGGATGCCCTCCAAGTGTACTTCTGTGTCACCAGGGTAATGATGTGTGTACAAGAGACAAATAAGATGGAAAGACTAGAGTAGATAGAGTGGGTAAATCCAGGCTTAAATCCAGGTTTAAATCTGGGTTCCTGGATGACATGTCTGGATCTCTCTATCAAAGGTGCATATTGGTAAAGTCAACAGACTCTGACCTCCAAAGGAGAGATCAAAGTTCACATTGGCACAGCTGATTTGCTGGGTATGTATAACTCAGAAAACTTGTGGTCAGCAATAACTGTCCAACTAGCCATGATTTGTTTAATGTGGTTTATTGAATAAATCACTGTTGTCTGGGTTCAACAATAGCCTCAATTATAAATCATGGTTTACAAGCCATAAAGACTGGGTTCAAGCAACAGGACCAACCAAAACCAAACAACCGATATTATGATTCTTATACTGAGTAAGCCATCTCTTTCTCTCCTTTCAGTTCTACTCACCTCTTGGTGACTTCATGTCTATGTTGTTTACTTAGCAGCAAAAAGAGTTTGCCATTGCCTTCTGCCAGAATGGTCTTTCAACTTTGCAGTTCAGCCTTAAGATTTCCAAGTGCTAATCAGTTGTGCTTAGCTTTCTCAAGGTCATCTGCATTCAGCTAGTTGCTGCCATCAGCTGTAAACATAAGTCTTTCCAGAGTCAAACTCAATTCCTGATTTTTAAGATCAGCCAAGGTCTGCACTTACTCATCTCACAGGAGTTTGAAGCTAAAACAGGACTTAGGGACATAATGTAATGGTATGTGGGAAAGATCTTGGGAGATTGGCTCAAGAGACATGGCCAAGGGAATGGTCAGATAAGAGATAGCATCGCCCACAGCTGCATAATGGACGCAGCAAGAGGCTAGAAGAGACCCTCCCTAGTTTCTCAGGCTATAAAGGAGAGGGAGAGAGCATTGTACTTTCAGACTTGAAAGATTCTATCAATGTAGCTTTACAATAAAGTAGAATTAGCTCATCTGGTTGTGATTCCTATCAGGTTTACCCTGCGAAGCGGACATATACACACTGTCTTCATCTGTTTGGAGGAAGGCCAAAACCTGGCTTGTAAGCAGCCATGATGATTGCTATTTATACAGCCTAAGTTTCCAACTTTAATCTTTGCAATTACAATCCTATAAAACGTAGTTCTTTCCCTAAAAAGTGCTGTTTTGTCTTAGTAATATTTAAAATAGCCTTGGTGTGGCTTTTAAAAACAATGAACCCCATCCCAATGTTCCAGCTCTTATTAAACTTATCGAAGTCTTTCACTCCTTTAAAATATTTGCTGGTTGCTAATGTCCCTAATTAATATGGAATTAAAGCTCTTCTCTATTTCCTGATTTGCAATAAACAATGTCTGCTCCCTGCAAATGTTGGGTAATTTTTCTTTCTCTCTCTCTCTGACTCAGATAATTGCTCCCCAGCCTAAAGAAAAATAAATTCATTCCTTTAAGTTATCTGATTCTTCGCAGCATCTCTGCTTAGAGCCAGCAGCCGTGTTTTGTCAATAAGGCCTCTGCCATAATATTTCAAAAGGGGGAGGGGAGGGGGGTTGCCCCTTCCCTGTGTCTGCTGAAGCTGTACTTAGCCTGAATTTTAATCAAAATGATATCTGCTTTTTCTCTCAAGAGCGTTAGGTATATGAGCCTGACTGCAAAAAGCAATTAAAACGTTTGCCATCCCAGCCTGTTTGTGTCTCCCTCCACCTGTTCAATGGAACTCAGGGGTGTTTTCAAGCAATTCATGTTTGCACTCTGGCTAGATGAGTGGGCAGCTTTAATTACCCACCCAGGATAAGTAAAGCTGATATTCCCAGTCTCAGAGCTTGAATTCAACCAGGGAAACGTTTAAGGAAAATTCGTCAAGTGGGTCTGCCCGATAGAGACCCAAGGAAGAAAATCTGGAGGAAGTTAAAAGAACAGTTCTCTCATTCAGCTCATGAGTACCACCGAGATCGTTGGATTAATCTCCCATTTTGTTCCTTTATGGCAGAGGAGTGAGCAACCTATCTGGCTCTGTGCAGGGAGAGGGGGATTGAGCATTGCAAAGCAGGGTAGCCAACTCAGGTAGTTGGTAGTTTCCATTGGTTCTTATCTTGAAGGTAGACATAGCTGGCTGACCTTCTCTGGGCTCATAAATTAAGCAGAGTTGGACCTGGTTAATACTTAGATGGATGCCTGTTTACATGGAAAGGCCAGGACTGTGGATTAGGCTGGGAAGTTGAAAAGACATCCAGAAAAAACTTCATGTAGTCACTGGGACTGCTCAACATAAGGAAATCTTTACTCAGCTCAGGAAATTTCCACCAGTGTTGCATGGACCAATCCTGCTTAATTAGTTCATGGGTCAATGCCTTATTTGAACCCAAAAAAGACATTTTCCCACCAATCAAGTTAGGAGCTTGTTGAACCAAGCACCGTTCACATTCAGAGCTCTGAAGCTCAAGTTATTCCAAGCAGCCTTCGTGAATTAGAATGCCATGGACAAGGCAAGACCTGAAAATCGATAAGGGTCACTTCCCTGTGGAAAGACTTTCCTTATGGACAATCCAATAACTACTTTTTTTTTCCTTCTTGGTGCAGGTCAACCTCATGTTGGATGAAGGGCGATCGCTGGGCCTCATGATTCGAGGGGGATCAGAATATGCCCTTGGGATTTACATCACGGGTGTAGACAAGGGCTCTGAAGCAGAAAACACCGGCTTGAAGGTAAGTTCAGCTGAGACTCTTGGGTGGATCTGGGAGGGTCACAGTTTTGTAGAAATGAATGTATGTAGATATACTTTCTGAAATATATCAGGCGACACCTCCTTCAAGTTGAACTTTACCTTTGGTGTCTTCGTGGACACATCCATGTAGTTTGTTTGGTGGCATTATGGACGTGGTCTGCCCTCCCTTCCTCTAGAAGCAACTTCTCTGGTTTCCCAACCATCCATTTACTCAGAGAAGCATCTCAGAGAACACCACCAACAGCCAAAGCAACTTCTCCCAACTCCAACTACAGTAGTAAGCACACTCAACAAAACCACCTGATCATTCAAAAGAAATGCTCAGGCACTTTGTGAATAAGGTAGAATATCAAAAGTCTTTTTTTCATAGAAGGAGGAAACTTCTAAAACCATTCAGCATAGCACTAATTGGAAATGTTTGCCCATTTCGTTCCTCTGCGAGATCCTCAATCAGATTAGCAAGGATGGTACTCTGGGCGAGATGGTCAGAAAGAAGATACCATCTCTGTACTTTCAGTTCAGCCTAAGCTTTATGCCCATTTTCATTAAAATGAGGCCAGAGGTCTCATTCATCCCATGTTTCCTTTCTCATATTTCAAGGTCACTGCCTTCAATTCAGACATATTCATGATCAATATCCGTGTTTTGTCCTTCTCAATGGATCATGAGGTGGCAGAATGCAGAGTTGTGGGGGCAACTCTCCAACTCTACCAATGGCATTTTCTGTTCATTTCTTCATTAGTCTCCCCTGACACCTCCTCTCCTCACCAGCTGCCTGGAAAGAAATTTCCTCTTTCTTTCCTGGATCACAGAATCTCTTGTTTTTGCAAAATGCCAAATGGTTTTCATGCAGGCGACAGAACATTAGGCTCAGGGAAGAGATATAAAATGATCACTGCAGGTATATAAAGAACATTATCTTCTACAAATAAATGACTTTAGGTCTTCAGTTGACTGTTATCATTTCCATCTGTTCCTTTGCCCCCCCTTGCAAGGAGAAGGTAATTCACAACCCTCCCAGAGTAACGCCTAAATTTCTATTTCGTTCTTCTCCCTGCCCTTTGCAAACTGAACTCTCTCTGATTCTATGACTTTCCTGCTACTCCAGGTTACGTTATCTTCTGGTTAGCACAGCCATTTTTGGATACAGAATAGATCTTCTCCCCTTCATTCCTGTTATTTGTCCCCAGAATGGCTTGGGCTGCTTGGATGTTGAAAAGAACCAGGAATAAGGATGGGGGAAATGTGGTGGTGTCTTTTTAGGGACACTCATCCATCTGGAGAAATCTTGGGGACTCCCAGATTTTATAGGAAACATCGGGAGCATGAGATTTTAATTTTGCTACAGGGAGATAATTCTAGATGTTGCAGCTGCTAGTTTGGTGAGAATCAGGTGACCCCTGGATTGCAGAAAGTTGCTTGTTTTGACTTTCAGCCTTTCATTCTACCAGAGCAGAAATGATCTTCCCTCTTTGCACATTTCCACAAAGTCTGTCCTAGCAGAGACGTGATAGATTGCTTGTCATCTGATCAGAGGAGAATAAGCTGAGGCTCATGGCAGAAGGTTTCTCTTCTCTCTCTCTGGATGGAAGTAAATATCTTCCCCCATCATAGGGCAGGAGAGAAACAGAGCATATATCACACAGCCCGATTGGCAATGAATTATTCATCATGACCTAGCTTTTAATGTGCTGGATGTCACACCAGAGCAAACATTGCACACTGGTGCTGTTGGAACACCATCTCTGAAGTCTTCCAACAACTCCTTGTTCCTTCTGTTTCTTGTCTCCATAGTAGATTCCTGGTTACCAATGGACAGCAGTACAGATGTTGTAAAAGGGCTAATTAAGACCGCATAGTTTCTTTCCAGGTATCTCCCTCACCCCCTTAAAACCTGCACATGCATGAAAATATCATGCTCAGTAGAGAGGACCAGTGAAAGATTCACGATGGCAATAAAATTCCTTAATGAGATTCTTTCCCCCCGGCTGTCTTCTTGCGGTCATCTGACTGGAGTGCAACGTTCGCCTTGTTTTAGAGACGGCAGGCTCTGTGAAAAGGATTGTGAGTTGATGGAAAGAGGCCCTGGAGAGATCTAAAGGCTCTTTCCAAACTGCTGGTCTTGCCAGCGGAGACTGGTAGTTGATTTCAACCAGAAACGAGAAGGAATAGAGATTGGGGTATGAGCTGATCAATTTTCTCCATAGTTATGAGTCAGCTGGCCCTGAAGCTGTTACACGAGAGAGAAAATTCTGCAACACCTTTAACCAGGTCAGTTACAACAGGTCAAGCTTTGTTCATTTTCACCTTACTTAGATTTGTTATGTGTGTTGTTTAGTGTGTTGTATGAATCCAGACTATTTAGTTGGTTTGCAGTTTGATATTGTAAAATAAAAAAAAGGGGGGGTGTTAAATCAGTAACCACATGATGTGTCTATAGGAATACACCTAAGTGCTGGAAAACTATAGCTCTAACACCCAACATGGGGACCCAACAGCTTTCCATGCACTGGAAAGTCCACTCTGGAAAATCATGGTGTTCTGCATGTAATGAAATCGGGGTGGCTTTCTTCTACATTAGAGTAACAGAGGAAGGGTAATAGGAAATCATCTCTCCAGCACCCTGCAGCCTCTGTGACTCCTCATGTGTCTGTGCAATCCCAAGTGAAGCCAAGGGGAGGGAACTTCTCCTGTTGGGCATTTTGAGATGGGAAAGTGTGGGCAGCCAGGGAGGCTGTGGAAGGATAGAGGTTGGGGAACAGTCAATCCTCTCTCCAATCATCTGCAGCCTCCCTGGCTGCCCACTGTTTCCCATCTCAAATGCCCAACAGGAGAAGTTCCCTCCCCTTGGCTTCACTTCACTCCACTCTTTCATTCAAGCCTTAGAAAACACATCAGAATGGAACGCTTCCCAGGGCGCTTTCTCAGATGGGAAGTATGGGCATAAAGGGAAGGTGCAGAGGGATGGAGAGATATCTAACAAGAAATCATCCTTTGTACAATATCCAGCCTCCCTGGCTTTTCACCCAGGAGCATGAATAGAACAGAGATAGTGCGCTTGACCGTCCTGCCTGAACAACAGGTGGCTTGCTTCAAAAAAGCATCATGTATTCCACCCTTCTGCAGCCACAGACTGGATGGTCCTAAACCTGACAGGTGATGTATTGCCTGTTGAGAGGGGGAAAAGGCAGAGGAAAGAGGGAAAGCTTTGTGTTGTCACTCCCACCTGTGAACAAAAGGAAAATCTTGCATAGGCTGCTGATGGTCTTCTACATCATTCAGTTGCTGGTGGATCAAGAGACAGGAAAATGAAATGAGAATATTTGGCATCCTAATGACTTGAGCAGCTGTTGAGAAAGCATTCAGTTGAGAGGATTTAAATAAGTGTTCTGCTCCATCTTTTTCCCCTTCCCCTGAATGTGATCTGGGAAAAGGGAGGGAGAATTAAGCAACTTCTTTCAGATATCTGTCATCCTGATCAAGCACAGCTAGTCCCAGCACACTGCCTCTGAGAGTGACGGTAATATGTGGGCATTATGTCTAGATGAAGGCTGTCTCCTCCATGATACCTCCATGTGGTAGCCCCTAGCCATGCATTCTGGTCAATATGGGAGTTGATGGCCAATGTAGATAGAAGATGCCAAGTTCCAAAGAGTTGCTGTTGATATTACTGTCTTGATGAATCAACGCAGATACCTTTGATAGGTCCATTTCCCAAGGCTTCCACCTTCCAATGGGAGCTTCTTTTTGGCTTTCTCTATACAGGTTGGGGACCAGATTCTGGAGGTGAATGGACGAAGCTTCCTCAACATTTCCCATGACGAGGCAGTGAAACTCCTGAAGTCATCTCATCATCTCATAATGACCGTCAAAGATGTGGGGAGGCTGCCTCATGCTCGGGCCACCGTGGATGAAACCAAGTGGATAACTCCCAGCTCCCAGATTGGAGAGACGATGGTCAATTCAGCAGGGTTTGTATATCCCCAGATATAGTTCGTTTGAAGGAGTGGTTTGTTATAAGCATAGTACGTTGAGCATGTCACCATGGCTTGTTTCATAATAACGCTCAGCTTTGTAAGAGGGTAGACAACTTCCTGATAGCCAAGGGATGCCCCATATTTGGGGAAGGATTAAGGATCCCAAATTAGATGGTACGGCCGGTCCAGGGAAATGAATTAGGCCCTTTTGTTCTTTTTAAACAGTGCCATGCATATTTCAGGGCTTACATTATAGTTTTGTTGGTTTCCGACTTCAGAATGGGAGGAAATTGTGCTGTCAGTGTTCAAACTCCAAGAGATGCACAGAGGGAACAACAGGGGCTGCATGAACAGTTTTTGAATCATTGCTTCCAAACCCCAATTGCTTGGATTGCTACAGAATGCTAAGATGAACCAAGTCACAAGAACAGAGCAAACTGGGAATAAAAAAAAATCTTTGGCCAATCTTCTGGAAATAGCCTAGAAAGTCTACCGGCATGTTTTGTATTTCGTACCTTCTATGACATCTGATTCCCTAATGAGAGAGAAAGAAAATTACGTTGGAGAAGCAGGAAGGAGGATAAAATAATTGCGAATGGTAGTGCCTGCCCTCCCCAAACCATAAGTATTATGAGATACCTATCACTCTTTCTTCTCCCTTTTTATGAATGGAAATTCATTAGTTCAAATCATAATGGACCAGGGGTATGGCAGTTATGATAATCATGTACCTAAAAGAAAATATTGATCCAATGTGCAGCTGCTGTAAAAAAGGCAGCTTCAGAAGGAAAGTAATTCCCCTTATGTAAGTAATGCCCTTACATAAACTTATAGTGGGACTACACTTGGAGGACTGGGTACAACTACAAAAGGGGCAGCCAAAGTGAGAAGGTGGTTGTCATCCTCCTGTCCATATCTGTGAGGTTCTTAAGTGGATCTGGTGGACACAGTAGGCTAAACCTGATGAGTCGTTGCTCTGATCCAGCCACAAGACGCTTCTGATGTTCTTGGTGCACATCTGATCTTCAACATCACCTACCGGCTAAGATTTCCATCTACCTTGATTTCTGACTTTCTTTTTGGTGATAACAGCTGCCTTTCATTCCAGGGCCTCTGGAGATCCTGTGGGAGAGATGACGCCAAAGGTAAGATGGGCAGGTTAAGGGACATTTTGAAGGTAGGGTCCTATTCTGTTCTAGGGGTATCTTATCACCAGCTATTTTTCTTACTGGAAAGAATATGAGTGAACCATAAGCCCTATCTGTCTCATTCCTGGGGGGTGCTGGGACTTCAGCAGCATCTGGATGTCCAGTTGCTCACTCTTTCTTAGAGCCAAACCACGTGACGGTTGATTTGAGCACTCGTTGATTTCCTTAAAGACAAAGATCTGGGAAGGTAGTGAACTTTTGATCAAGCGTCTTCTGTCACATTTAAATGATTCCTAATCGTTTCTTCCCCTTGAATGCTGACAGGCACATCTGAAAATGTGGGAGAAAAAAACAAAACTGTTCTAGGCATGTTTGCAAAATGTCTGCTACGGGGGTTATAAATTAGTAAGCAAATTAGTGAGACATTTCCCTGCCATATCCCCAAATGCTCTCTCAAACAAACCCAGGCCAGCAGCCAACCATCACTGTTGTTTCCTAAAGATGCCAGGGTAAGGCATGTGGGGTTTAGAGGCATTCTCTGAAACACAAATAATGCCAGAAGCTGGCACGAAGCTGGGATTGAGTGGGTTCCTGGTGGAAACTGAAGGAGATATCCATCGGCATCTTGGTACCCATGGAATTGCCATTCCTTTAAAAGCCTGTCCTGGAGGGATTTAGGATGAAGTTAAACCTCCTGCATGTAAAGCAGGTGCTATAGCGCTGAGCTACAGAACATTCCTAAAGCAGTATTAGAAGCTGCTCTCGGCTGAAGCTATCTAGCCAGTAATATGGACAGTAACCGGGAGCCGCTGTCCATGTTCACAGGCAGGGGTTTCCCAACCCTGGAGATGTTAGGAACCAGATTTGGAATTCTGGCTTGCAAAGGAAGCCTCTGCACCACTGAGCTATTGTTATTTATCTGGAACGCGGGATTTGGATTCTCACGCTTCAGAGGAACAATATGAAGAGAGGAAGCAGCCTTCTGTTGAGCCGTGTCTTTCATTCATCTAGCCTAATAAAGTCTACTTTGGTTGGCATGGCAGCATGTTATTTATTGGCAGGAATTTCCCCCCCAGTCTTATCTGGAGATGAAATACTTTGAGCCTGAGATCTGCTGGAG